CTCTCTCTCTCTCCCCTTCTTTCTCTTTCCCTCCCTCCCTTCCTTCCTTTCTGTTTTTTTCAAAACAGGGTTTCTCTATGTAACAGTCCTGGCTGTTCTGGAACTCACTCTGTAGACCAGGTTGGCCTCGAACTGAGAGATCTGCCTTCCTCTGCTGGGATTAAAGGCGTGCGCCACCAGCGCCTGGGCCCTTCCAATTATTTTTTTCTGTTCTCATTTCCTTTTGTCCTCTCCTGCTAATCACATTCATGGAGATAGAATTTACTTTCCCTTTTGGAATTCTTTCAAGTTAGAAAAATCTATTTATAATTATTCATTTTGTGGAAGCGTTTTTGTATGCATGCATGTACCACAGTGCATATGTGTGGAGGTCAGAGGGCAATTTGTGGGAGCTGGTTCTCTCCTTCCACCTTGGGGTCCCTGGGATTGAACTCAGGTTGTCAGGCTAGGTAACAAGCTTCTTCCCTTACTGAGTCATCTTGTTGGCACTGTTTTGACAAATCTCCAGTTACCATAAGCAGGATACAGAATGTTTCCATCACCCCTTCCCATAGGTGATTCTTTAAAATTGTGAGAATAAAAATAGCCCTTAACTGCCAGGCGGTGGTGGCACACGCCTTTAATCCCAGCACCTGGAAGCAGAGGCAGGTGGATCTCTGTGAGTTTGAGGCCAGCCTGGTCCACAGAGTGAGTTCCAGCATAGTTGGAGCTACACAGAGAAACTCTGTTTCAAAAAACCAAAACGAAAGAGAAAGAGAGAGAGAAAAGAAAAACTAGTCCTTAACTTCCATCCTCCTGCTTCAGATAACTAAAGCTGGATGACTACAGTTGGGAATTTTGTGCACGCATGTCTAATGACAAGAACTAACCACAAAATACCGCCGCAACCACAGCTTTGCACAAAGGCCACCACAACCTTACACAGAAACACTCCTGCAAGGCCGTCCACCCAGCAACTGTGTGTTTAGTCTTGGACTCGGGCCACCCTTGTTATCGATCCTTGTAGCCAAGGATTATTGTTTCAAAATACCTTATGTAATCCATTTCACTTTTAAATACTTCCTCTTGCTTCCAGCCTCTCCGAATGGCTCCTACATCCCTCCCGCAGGTTTACCTTAGTTCCCCAAGTCCTCTTCGTCTTTAGAGGCTCTCTGTCTGTTGTTGAGGCTCTGATACTCAGCGCTAGTCCCTGGCATCCCAGGCCATTTCCTATGCATCTTTTCCAGGGTGTCTCCTAAGTGGGCTCAGAGCTACGGCTTGTGGTGTCTTCACTCAACATGATCTAGGCTGTTGGTATAGATAGCTGTTTCTCTCTCTTTTTATTTATTTACTTACTTACTTATTCATTTATTCATTTATTTATTTTGTTTCTCTCTTCTTGCTGAGGAGTGTTGAGTCATTTGTGTGTCCAGGAGTTGACTCACTTGCTCACCCGCCATTGTTTTGGAAGCTGGGGAGATCATGAATAAGACTGCGGTAAACTTTTGTCTGCGGGTCCTTGTGGGAGCAGTTTTCCTTTCTCTAGTGAATACCACAGGAAGAACTGCAGGGCCGCCTGGTGAATGTCTTTAGCTTTGTAAGAACATGCTCATGTCTTTTCCAGTGAGTGCTTGTTTTGTGTTGTCTCGCTTTCTGTCTCTTGGTTCTGGGCCTCCCAGATCTATAGCAGCCAGAGGCATGGGCTTGTTGCTCTTCACTACTGGTTAGTGTCCTGCTACCCTCCCTCGCCCACACACGTGCTTGCTTTGTATCCAGGGACTCACAAACGCACCACTGAGCTGTAATCCCCAGTTCTCTGAGCAACCCTGGCTTTCATGCGCAGTCCTACGTCTGCAGGTCTCATTCTCCCCCTCCCTGTCTCTCGTCTGTTCTACATTCTCACACTTAACGTTTGTTTTGTCTTCCATCTCTGCGATTATCCTCTGATTTTTTTAAACTGTTTCTCATTCCTTGTTTTTCATTCTCCCACATGGCTTCCCCTGTCTCTCTGCTTCTATGGCCTCTCTCTGAGCCTCCCCCAGGCCCCTCCAAGCACAGTGTCGGAAGGGTACCCCCATAGTTAGGCTCTCTGTGCTGCCTTATGCCGCCACATCTCAGGCTGGGTAAGTTGGAAGAAATCTGGGTCCTCCGTCCAGCTCACCATGGACCCACTTAGCCCCTAGATAAACCCTTCGCTTTTGTTAGCCTCGCTTTTCGCATTTGTGAAAGGGCAGTGCACACCGGAGCACACAGGCTTGCTGTGACTTTGTGCTTACTGAGGCTTTCACAGGGCTTTTTGGTCGGGACAGCTGTTTGAGACAGGGTGCTGTATGTCGCCCAGATGGTCTTGATTCATGATGTCACAGAGTTAATATGCCTTCCCAGTGCGAAATCACGATGGAAACCTTCTAATAATAGTGCATGGCTTGTTCCGGCTAATGTACAGAGGGGAACCAGCCTTGAGCAGAGATCCCTTTCTGCTTCTCTAGTTTCATGACCACGAGTTACACTTTGAACAATTAAACATCTTTTACAGAGACAGAAATCCTAAGGTTTGGTTGTTTGGACAAATGGGGAGAGTGCCAATGTTCAGTTCTTGCCAGAGCTAGCACGAGACAGAGCACAGCTGTATTTCCTCGGCAGCTGTTAACCAGGATCCTCCTGTCTGGCCAGCAGAAGGATGCTCTTTCTGATAGAGGCATGGGGTTTGATTGGTGGCGTCGTCTCTACACTTCCTGGCAGTGGCATGCTCCTTTGTCTAAATTTTGCCTTGGTGTAACTTAGTATTTTTGAGGCAAGGTTATTGGTAAATCCCTTAGGAAAAACAAAGATAGCAACATCAGTTTATTTCTTTCACTTCTTCCTTCAGAGTTCTACCTGCTCCAGCCTGATGGGTGCTTGGATTAGAGGTGGGTGCCACTGTGCCCATCATAAATGTCATTCGTAGCACTTTAGAAACCATCTCGGTCCTCAGAGCAGTACCGTAGAGGCGAGTAGTATTTCCAGAGCTTACTTTGTGAGGACTTACATCCTAAGAGTGCAACTTAGATGCCTGAAGCTTGGAGACGGTGGCACCAAGACACAGAATCTGGAAGGAAGGCAGCGGTAGGACGGGAGCCCTAAGCTCCGAGAGTTGTGAGAGTTGCCTTTGCCTGTGCTGTTGTCTTGATCTCCTTCCCCTGTCTCAGAGTTAGGCAGCTGGCCTGATTCAAGGCGTGCACCACTGTGCCCTGCCCACATGGTTGACTCTTAATGTTGGCCAAAAGAAGCAAACATGCATACACACATATGTGTACCTATATATATCTGTATATGTGTGTATTTATATATATGAACACATAGATGCATATATGTGTATATACATACACATATGTATATATTCTACTGAGAGTAGAATTTCTACAGCCCACAAAAGTAACCTAATGTGCTAAAACCCAGAATGACTGTTCCTTTGGAGGTTCTATTAGTCAGTTGCCCTGAGATAATCAACTCATAGAGGGAAGGTTAGCTTTAGCTCATAGGTTTGGAGTTTCAGTCCACAGCACCATTGCTTCTGGGCCTGTCGTGGCAGTATCAAGGGGTGGATCGAAGTCAGGGCAGGCCAGGTAGCAAGAGAGAAGAATCTGTGGTCCCTCTAGATCCTTTAAGGGAATAGTCTTCTTGCTCTAAAATATGTCCCACGAGGCCTTTACCCTCAACATTGTCAAGCCAGGGACACCTGGGCCTTTGTGAGGACATTCTAGAGCAATGGTCCTCATCCTTTCTAATGCTGCGACCCTTTAATACAGTTCCTCATGTTATGGTGACCTCCAACCATAAATTATTTTCATTGATACTCCATTGGTGTAATTTTGCTACTGTTATGAATATCTGTGTTTTCCGATAGTCTTAGGTGACCTCTGTGGAAGGGCCTCCTATTCCCCTGCTCTACCACAAAGGGATCAGGACTCACAGGTCCACAGGTTGAGGACCCCTATTCTAGTGGGTAGACACTGTTAATGACTAGAAAGGAGTATGGGGGTACTCTCTGGGGAATTTCAACTTCTTGGCCCTGGACCTGAAGGCTTCTGAACTTCTGATCTCCCCCTGGCTGTGTTTCGGGACATCTGGAAGACAGGGCCTGATATTGTGCGACACACCCTCTTCAATCAGCGGGCTGATTTGCATGCTCTATTGTGGTCGAGAGGCTTCCCCATCCCTGTGCCGTAAGCACCCAGAGCGTGCACAGCACACACATCAGGGCAACTCTGGTACAGCCTTGTGCCTCTGGCCATGGCCTGCCCTGGTTGCCTGCCTTTCCTTCTGATTGGTGCCTTCTTGGCAGGTAAGACTCCTCCGGGAGGGAGGTGGGGGTTGGTACTCACTCAAGAAAGCCCACACAAAGAAGCAGATCAGTAGCGCCAGTGGGGTGGATCCTAGGCAAGGCAGAGAGGTGGAGTGGAGGCCAGGCAGGACACGTTCCTGTGTGGACCTTGATTACACTGACCCTTTGCTTCTCACAGGAGATGTTAACATGGACAGTCCCTTACGCCATGTGGTCAGAAGCTTGAAA